GTGCTGCAGTCCTTTTTCAGGATAATAGTTGTACCCATTTCCATACTACTGGAAGTGTCCCTCTACTTAGTTTAAAAAAAAAGGGTTAAGGAAAAAAAAATTAGTGAAAAAAATTCCTTCTTGCATAAGGAGAGACTGGCTAAGGTATTAGACTAGGGGGTTAATTTTTTTTCCCTGCAATCCTGCTACCTCCCGTTAGGCACATGGCAATCTTTCAATTACCTTACTTTACCTGCTTGTATTAAAGGATGACAATTACACTTTGCTACCTGCAGATTGCTTTAACAGTGAAATATATGGCCTTTGGATTAGAAGATACTAAGTAGATGTAAATAACACTCTGAAAACGTTTTCTTTCCCTTTTCAAAATATGCTCTGATGGACACCAGAGAATACTGCAAACAGAATAAGCCATCAACTGACACACCTTTTGACAGGCTAACTTAACAAGACTGGACACTAAATAATTACATTCAGATCAGTTCCCAGACAATACGAATTAATACTACAAATCCATCAAGAGTCCACCAGCATTTATAAAATGACCAAAGTGCCACCAGTGACCAACCAGTTAATGCACAGTGGAGAGAGGCCAGGGAGCAACAGACTGGCTGCCACTAGGTGAGAATGTCCGTAGTTGTTTTCCTTGAAAGTCCCTTTCACCACATGAAATAGTTCAGACAGAAAAATACCTACCAAATAAGGCAGTATTTTAAATTATTCCCCCCCCGCCCCCCAATTAAGGGACACAATTTTTTTAATAGACACTACAAAGCGGGGGCGGGGGGGGAATCTATTGCAGACATCTAAAACTTTCGTTTCTAAAAAAGAACTACTTAGAACCTTTCACAATCCCACTCAGGAATCAGATTCAGTATTCTGAAACTGCAAAAGGTATACATACCATGTCTATCAAAGCAGGATAAACCCTGTCTGCTTATTGATATTAGTGTATTACCAATGTTAAGCTTAGAAAGCACTTGGATCAGTGCTTCCTTAGTGCAAAAGGTTTTATAAATCTGCAAACCATAAACTAACAAGAACTACTGAAACAATCTATCAGCTGCAGCAGGAAATCAGTGGTCTCATAATCTTAAGGTGGCTTAATCTTAAAGGTGATCTAAAAAGGCTTTTTACCTGCCAGAGACTAACTCTGGGTTCTGTCTTTCTTCTGTAACAGCTGACAACATGACTAAGAACTATAATCAGATAAGAAATTGCATTCCATAAATGGTTTTAGTTGTTTGCAAAGACACAATCAATTTGGGCGGAGAGGAGGGAGTAAAGAAATGTGGCATAAGCAAGGAAGCATAAGAGAAAGTTACATTTAATGATTTCATTCTAAAACACATTTGCTTCTGTTAAGCAAACAAATAAATCTATCAAATGTGACACATTTTAAAAAATTGTTTTTTTCATTTTTTAAACGCCACAGCTCGCTAAGTTAAGAAATATTTTCTGTTCATTAGTATACCTCCACTCCAATCTGAATACCTCAAACCTTTCTTTGGAATAAACAAAAAGTATCGGCATTTATTTTGACACAAAGAACACATTCAGCACTCTCAGCTTTTACCCACTTCATTCTGTGACGCGACTTTTCCCAATAACTTTGAAGATCTCCTGAGAGCGTGTGTTGGATAGCTGTTAAGACTCCTGGTATTGGCAAGAGTTTGTTCTCTCTCAGACAGGTACAGTAGCAGTTAATGTTAGCTCATAGTATAGTACACTGTGTTCTGGCTAAAGAGGCAACAGTCTTAACTGTTTTCATAGCTTCTCAATATAACAATGTTTCAGTGGAGATCTACTACTGTTTGTTTCTTTCAGCTGATTCTTCTTCCTACTGTTCTTGGTTAAGTAGCATCCTGTACTTAGTTCTGTTAAAAAGGTCTTTTCCTATTAATTTTTCCTGCACTAAGAATATGTTTTTCCATGTAAACAGACATGGTCTGGGCTAAAAGTCTTGCCTCATGAAATCTGTCCTGTCATCCTTTCCTTTAAAGAGAGAGATAAAACTACCCTTCCCTATCCTTCGTCATGTTTTTTTAATGTATTGTGTAAACGGATTTTAATAGAAATAAACTGGACTTCTGGTTGACTCATAGACAGTCCTGTATTTCTTCTTAAAAAGTCGGTTCATACTTGAGCTCCCATTGCTACCCCCTTGATACCAAAGAAGCTTGCAAACATCTGAGCCCTGATGGTAGGTAAAAAGTTGCGTAATTTTGGAAGTAACAATAACTATGATATCTGAAACTGTGTTCTAAAAATTTACATGTAAGCATCTGCTGGATCACTAGATTTCTACATGAAGACTGCAAAAGAAATCTCCCAGAAGACCTGTGATGGAAGTCAGCTACACAGTGGCCATCACACTAGTTCACATCTAAAAGGATACAGCCCTAACAGAGGCAATAAAGGAGGAAAATGAGAAAGCAGATGGAACGTAAGATTCTGCCTGAAAGCGTACTAGCATTTCATTAAGTAAGCAGAAATGAAAATGGTAAATTCAGCATCAGTCAAGAGATTATTAAAAAAAAAATTCGGAGTTTCTGTTGCACTGCAATTGAGATACAACTGACCAAATTAATCACTGATAATCAGAAGGCAGAAAGAAACTGAAGCGGAAGCACTACAGCTTATCAGTATTTTCAGAGTCACTCAAACGCCCCACATTTCTACTTTCTGACAACTAGACCCTAATTTTTTATTTTCTGGTAGCAAAGAAAAGCAAAACACAGAAGCTACAAATCTAAAAATCTTAATCTGCCATGAAACTAATCTTGAAAATTGAAGTGCTGGTTATTAAGAAATGAAGCCAACAACAGAACCTTCTTCCCCAATGTGTTTATGCAGGTGTGCCATCTGGTGGAGATGTTTCATTTTCGTATGTCAAACCTCAGTTATTATTTTTATTATTTTAAAATACATACTGAGATTCAGCAGCAGGTTTTCAAACTATTGAAAAGACTATGTGAAAGATAAAGCATACAGGCTAGTTGTATATCCAACGGAGGAAGCCTAACAGCAAGGATTCGAACATCTTAACCAACAGTAACCAATAAAAAATGCTACGTTCAAGTATATCAGCAATTTAGGAGTGACGGAAGCAACCACAAAACATACAGGTTATTACCTCAGTCTGAAGACAAATATCCCCAACCTGGAAAGCAGACGTAATTTTAGGATGAGGGTATTTGAATCCAACTGTTGAGACACCACAGCCTCTTGACTGACCTGCCACAGTTGCGCCACAGTGAGCACAACTCTAAGAAAGGCACACCATCTGCCCACTATCCCATTTTAACAACAAACTGTAAATAGATGTCTCAGGAACATTAAGAACAGGACAAGCATACATAATCCTCTTTACTCATCTGTAATAAAGTAATGCAGGTAAACTTTTAGCATCTGTGTGATTTTTGTCAATGAATTCCATACATCTAATTGCACACTGCATTAAGAATCCCTGTCTTTGGTTTCTTTTGAACCTCGCTCCATCTTCGTTCTGTGCTCCCTCATTCTGGTACCAGGAAGGACAGCAAACAATCAACACCCATCTTTTCCAGGCCATTTATGTGTTTGTAGATCTCTGTAACATATCCCCATTAAAACTTCCTCCCATTATCACATTTTTCTCCAGAATGGGAAGTATTAGTTTACTAAGTCCCTAATACAAAAGTTATACCAGAAATTATTACTGATTTAGTTTCCTGCCCCCTCTGAACCTTTAAAAATTCCAGGATATCCTTTCTGAGATGAAGAACCAGAACTGCACATAGTATTCAAAAGATGTAGATGACCCCGACATTTGTACATAATGACATTCTTTGTTCTGTTTTTGCTCCTTTCTAAATAATTTTAACAAAGGATTTCCTTCAACTGCTAGGATTACTGAGCTGGTACTTTCTTGGAACCACCTATGACTTCTGCAAGTTCAAAGCCCACACTTCGTATGTAAAGATATAATCGAGTTCTGCCTTCCCTCTCCATTGATTGGTTGGACTAGATGATCTTAAAGGTCTTTTCCAACCTAGATGATTCTATGATTCTATGATTGTGTAGCACTTAATATACACTGGATTTCACCTGCCATTTTACTGCCAAGTCACTCTCTTCAAAACTATCATTCAGTATCAGCTTTTGTCCCTACTATCCTGAGTATCTTTGCATCATCATCAAACTGTGTCACCTCACTGCTTGCCCTCTTTTTCCAAGTCACTTGTGAATATGTTGAACATCATTGCACTGCAGAACTCTACTGGTAACCTCCCTATTCTGCAAGGATTGATCATATACTCCACTTCTTTTCAGTTTTTTTAACTGATTTCCACTTATGCTACAGCTATATAGTTTCTTTTAAAAGCTTTGGTGAGAGACCTTGTCAAAAGCTTTCTGAAAATCGAAATATTCTGCATCTTTTGACAACCAGTTTCAAGGGAATCAGAAAGCAAAAGCTGAGCCATTTTCAGTTTCAAACTAAGGAGGAGGAATTTGTCAGCGATAATAGGTCTTGTTTTAATCTTACCATCCACTGTTTTCATCTGTGCCTTATCCTACACAATAAAAAGGTCTATTCTTTAAAAAACTCAATCCCAGATTAAGACATCTGTGCATTAAAGTATCTGTGCTTTCACCATATGAACCTTTGTTTCTGACCAAATGGAGGCCAAACATAAGATTTTCAGTCCCAGAATTCCAGTGCTGAATTTTCACCATCCGTCTTGAAGTACATAGCTGGAATCTTCTTGCTTCCAGGTAAGAAAAGGATGACCCATATGGTCTCTTTGCTATTGCATCTTACATGGTTTAAGATATACAGTGCGTTCAGAAAAAATTGTTTTTGTAAGGTCTGACCTTCTATATTAGAAACTGATCTGTAATTCAAGATTGAGTGGGAACCTTACCACACCTGCTCCACTGGAAATTTCAGGAGCACTTCTGCTACAGACAGGGAAGAAAAAAAAGTATATGTCTAAAATATATAGTTAAATGCTTACTTGGCTTTAAATGGGGAATCAGAAACAGCATTTTTTGCTTCCATCAAACTCTCATATTCCTTTGCCCTGGAAGAGAAAATACTCTATATTATTGTCTAAAGTGTACAGTACGTAATACCAGCAAGACAATTCTAACCTTTGGGTTTCTTCCATTTCATAGTAACACATGGTATTTCTGTCAATTCTGCCCTGTCATAATCCACACTGATGCTTAACTATTGGCCATTAACAATTTACAATTAATATTATTACTTTAGACTAACATCAGTAGACACATGGTGTATTGAAGTTGCCTTTCTAAATGGTAGAAAATGGTACAACTGATATATACAACTGCAGTAACCTGTTGCTTGTTATAAAATTATCTCATTCAACTGATGAAAATATTAGTCATTTAGACACATAGTGCAGAAAATCACTACATTGCAGAGATTATAATTAACATACAAATAATGTGTTATATTTACAGGTTCAGCAGTATTTTTTATGTAGCTAATGACTGTACTGTAATATAATGAACCTTGTTAGGCACACAGCATGGAAGTAAATACCTCCAAACATGACTGTTTTAGTGCTGGAAATAGAAACACAAACCTCTTTAGTCCCTTAAAAGTATTATTTACGCTGGCCATATGCCAAAAAGTAGGAAGAGGGAGACAAGACTTTTTATCCCCACTGCTTGTTTTGACTCCAGCCAGCCTGTGCCAACAGGTGAAAATCATCACCAGCTCATCAGCCAAAACAGGATGCAGAGCGGTAACCCTGTAACCTTTTATAACAACATACACACACAAAGTAAAAATAATCCAGACACTACAGTGATGCAGAAAAATGCAATTCTCAGAGACAGGGCCCTGTGATGAAGAAACATCCAGCAGGCAGTAAAAGCATTTAGCTGTTCAAAACATTTGATCCATTAAAATTGCTCTTTTGATTTTTATTCTGAAATGAAGACCACAGATGCAACATGGATCTCTAGGGACTTCAGGGAGATCTGCTGTTCAAGCCTCTTGAGACTGTGTTCTCAGATGAACAAGGGACAACCTCACTCATTGCTTGGAAAATTCTTCAAAAGAACCCCTGTACACTCACCTGAAGGAAACTTAACTGGCATGCTGCACTAAATCTGTGATTAGGTATGTGAGCTGCTTGTCTCTACCAAGAGCACCCATAACAGAGGAAAGTGCCAAAAACCCCTCAGGACAGAAGGGGGAGGGGAAATCCATCCCAGGGCATCTTTCACCCATAAAAACAGCATTTCCCATTAATTTTCAAGGTCAGTTGACATTCTTGCCACCTTTGCAATGTCCAATTGTTTTTTTCAAACCTAAGATTTTGACAATGGCTTACAATGGGAAACATGTTTCATTGCTGCACTGTGAAAAAAATGATTTAGTAAAGATTTAATTCCTATTACTTCTCTCAGATACATATATTAAATGTTTCTTTGTATCTTCTATTCACCCAAGTGGATCAAGTTTTCCAAAGCTACTCAAATTTTCCCTCAGCTTGCTTAACCTATACAATTTATGCTACATGCAAATATTGTTACATTATTGCTAGCTCTGATTTGTGGATCATTAATAAAGCTATTAATCACAACTGAATTCAATATTAAACATGAAGGCGAGATTCCTTTATTAACCTTTTGCCTTCTTTCCTGCCTCTTAGCCAGAAACAACACATTTCAGCTTTGAGTTTTGTACAGACAAGTCAGTCAAACATGAATAATCACCTAAAATATCTGTTACTAAATGAACATGACTAGAGGGCTTTAAATCCACTGCAAAGCATATGTCAACTGTATATACTTCCTAGCTGGTAACAACACCTCTACTGCTTGAGGTTAGCTTTCATCAAGCCTTCTTCTGCCATGCAGGTACCAAAGTATTCTTCTGACAGCAGCTCATACATGTTAACCTGAGATAATTCACTTAGCTATCTATCAGTTGTTACTGTAACACCAGTTTAATGGCTTAGGGTCATAAATATAATTAATAAGACTAACAAAATTTCTCAACATATCTAATAACCCATTGATCACAATTTGTCCCCTCATTCACCTTTGCCCCTCATTGGTTTGATATTGTAATAGTGATTTAAGATCTAGAAACTCAGGAGAGCAACAGGAACCTATTTGAATGCAGTTACCTTTTTTAAGTTTAAAATATCACAGCTTCCTAGAAACTGCAATGAATGTGTAATTTCCAGTCTTAAGCTATAAGGGAGTTTGTTATAACTATTTCTTTTTCAACAGAAAAGGAATAGTTGCAAATATGTACTAAAACTGTGTAAAGAATGGTTTCTAGATGATCTGCTAACACCTGTGAAACTATGTGAATTATCGACATCAAATGCTCTTCACTTTCAAAGCATCCTCAATAAAATAAGTACTTTAACTACATATTCCACCTAAGTTTTGAGTTGATTTTGAGCTGTAAAGTCCCAGTCATCTGTTGGTAGTACTGTCCAGACTGTTGGGCAGAAACATAGTAGACATCACCTGAATTATTTAATTTAGTATTTCATATTGTAATTCTGAGGTTATTGCTTTAATTGCTTTAGCCACATAACTTAAGATAATCCTCTCTCATCTTCCAAACATGGAAAATCTCCCTACCTCACCAGTCATAAGCTTACATGCAGGAACACCCAGGCAGTATTTGTCATTACTATGCCTATTACTATTACTCAAGTGTCAATTATAGTAACTGTAGAAGACTGGCAAGATTTGCATAGCTACAATTAATTTCCCAAATGGATTTCCCCCCTCCCCCCCCAATCAATTTTTTGTTTGAAATTCCATGGAACAACCTTCATATTGCTACTGGATATTTTTATTAGTAAGTCTTTTACATTAACATCAGAAAACTCATGGCGAAATCTTCAATTTAACTCTCAGTAATCTTCAAGGACAGTCATCCCATTGAAAAGTTTAGTCACCCTTTAAAACTAAAAACAATCTTAATGAACATGAATTTCATGTCTCGCCAATATAACTCCTCTTAGATTTGAAACTTTCACTGTATTTTTCAATAGTGTATCACCTTCGTAAAATGATGCCCCTTTATTACTGTTTTAATTATAATTTTTGATGATGAATATGCTGACTCACCCGGCAGTCTGACACAGAGGAATTAAAAAATGTTCTGAAAAAGTTTTTCAACTATCAGTGCCAATAATAAATTACTATTTGAACTTGTCTTCCTAGGTCTGACAAATCTTTGACTAAATTCAACAGAAGCAGCTCTTGAGAAAGAATTAAAATTGGACCAAATAACTGTTAAATCAACAGGTAATATGAATAACTGTGCATCTTGAGCAATGAAAAACCTGGAACAATATGTTATACAGTTTCAACAGTGTCTTCTAACATGGTATTCAGATAGTGGATTTGCTCATCCGAAGAGGAAAACAATCTGAAACACTAATACATTGTAAAAGTATTCTGTTTTTGAAGACTAATGTGCCATTATTAGCAGTACTATGAGTTAATAAAACATCTCATTTTTACTGTAGCTCTAAAAATCCATTCAGGTGTTTTTCTCTTATCTGTAACCCTTCTTGCTTAAAAACAAGGCAGAGAAAATATGTAACAATGATTCTTACCTTCTGAGAAGTATTTTTAGAGATAAATGCAAAAGTATGTTATAATATTCAGTTACGTATTAACCTCAGCTGGGGACTATTCAGCTATAAAGACTGACACTGCCAGTTCATGATATAATGATGTCCTGCATATCATATTGATTTGCAGATGTCACTTTTTAGACTAATAACAAATTGCAGGTCTGACAACTCACTTTCCATTTCAAGATATTTTTAACTTTCTTTTTGTTGTGACAGGCAACAAAAAATGATTAAATTTAGTCATGGGATTTGACACTACAGCAGGCTGACTTCTATTTGTTGATTACTATTGATTTTCTTTGATACTTCATTTAAAAATCAATAGCTAGAAAGAAAAATAGGCATGGTTTACACAAATTTAAACATGCTATTGTATGCTAGAAGAGGCTACAGTTTTGGCAGGGCACTGGCATCCAATTATGAGAAAAGCTCTTAACAGGTGAAACCAAGGGCTCCAGATCGATACTCAGTTTTCTTTCTCAATCAGAGAAAGTGGCCATAAATTAGGCTCATCAGTGTTATTTTCAAGACACTCCCAAAGCAAATAATTTTAATTTTTTTTCAGCCTTCCACTGCACTCATACGAAAGGACAAAAGGTAAAGTTTAGAACAAAACTTAAAGAAAAAACGTTAAAAAGTTTGTACTACCTGGAGTTCATCCGTGCCTTTAGCTTTTTGGCTTTCTTTTTAGTTTTTTGTTTTTCCTCTCCATCTTTTAATGGTTCCACAGGAACACAACTCTCAATCACAATATCCACAATGTACTTTTTTAATGACAGGTGCTCCTGCAGAAAATATTGAAATAATATTTAATCTTACAGTACATGACAGAGATTATAGATTATCTTCCCAGAAAGCAGCAGCGGTAAATATTTAACAAAAGGTTAAGAAACTGAATAAAAAATTTAAAATAAATTTTGGAAGCAAGATTATTTCATACTGGAGAGAATATATCACAGGTACTACAAAGAGAAAAGGGAGAATAATTATTGAGAGAAGGAGAATAAATATTGTCCCTCATTTTCAAGAAACTGTTACCTAAACAGGTGTGAACTCCAAGCTGACATCCTCTCTCTTCCCCAAGCTGCCTTTTACAGCTACATGAAACCAACACCCTGCCCTACTAACATAACTCATTATATTAAATGAACTAATTCTGGTTTATGATTTTAACTCTTAATGAAAATCTAAACTTGTCTTAACTTTTGTTAAAATACATCGAAACTATTTACTGCTTACAATGTTACCATTTATTGATGGGAATATTATTTTTCCTTTCAAATTAACAAATTTGCATTTAAGTAAAATATGGGTAAAATCTCAATTGCCCACAGAAGATATGCTTCAATGGTAGAGTTTTGACATAATGGCATGCAAGAAAAATGAATGTGATTACACTATGTGATTTTAAATAAATGCTTTGTTTCTAAATTTTTTTTAAAAAGTTACAAAACATTTCCTGTTTCCTCAGAGGTACTTTCAGTGAAAGTACAGATTACCCCAATGCAGTTCAAGGTCTACATTTAAAATAAATATTTATAATTTAGAGATGAATAACCAAGAGAACTATTCCCCTAAAGCTGTTCTCAATTTTGATTGACCTATGCTATCCATGAATTGATATGTAGGTGCTTGTAACTATTCCAATGACCAGCGGACTCCAGAAACTACACATTCAAACAAAACCCAAAAAAACCCCAAAACTCACAACCAACCAAACCCCGCAAAACCCCACAGCTGCTAAACTGCTGACTACCTTATTTTTCTCAGTTCTCTCAAATTACAAATTTATTCAAAGTACTCTATGCAGCAAGTTAGATATCAATGACCAAGAAGGATTTCTACTCTTGAGTGCTCTTCTAAACCTACTTTCCAATTTAGATGTGCATTACTGAATTTAACCTCTTCTGAACTATCAATGTACTTCAGATCCTTTGTCTTACACAAATGTAATCAATGCAATTTTAAGTGACACACTTAAACCACTATGATGTCCTCAGTCTAGTTTGATTGAAAAATATGTGTAACCTGATGTTCTGCATTATATTGCAACGTCCTTCTATGACAATAAAAGGCTCACAGACACATTCACACTATTGAAATCTCTCGTACAAATACCTCATTTGCAACAAGTGAACACTGTATCTCCATAATGCACTGTGGCTGCTTGTACTACTGGGCTACAAAAGCCAAACGTATCAGGTTTATTTTTACAAGTAACAATATACAACTAGTTCAACACCAGTTATTAGAATGTATTTACCACATTTTTAATATACTGAGACTTATTTTAGATTGCTTTTCTTATAGAATACCGAACACATTATGAAGTATAGGTCACCACTGCTTATCAGGATAATTTATCCTTGAAAATGATTAGTGCAGCAATCAGATGTGGTTATTCCTTCCTTTTTAATAAGTATCATTCAAATTCAAAGTAAATGGTGAAGTGTTAAAAAAACTTATAGACAATATTTTCCAGAAACAACCTATAGTTTCTTTCACTTGATTCAGGAAAATACTATGCCCGTTGAAAACAAAATAAATCTCTGTGAAATTTCCTGGAAAAAGACCGTTTAGTTTTTGTAAGCACTGCAGCATGATATAACCTAGCAATATATATTTGGTCAAAATAGTAAATGAAATTTCTATCTTAAGTCATACGAATG